AGCGCTAGGCGTAGTCGGCTTTTATCCTTAGCCTTTTATCCTTAGCTGGCGGCCCAGAGCAAGAACTTCCACGCTCAGGTCCACTGGCCAGACTCTGTCCAATTGGCTGCTTATGATTGGCCAGTTTAAACTTTAGACTTGGAGGGCTATCCCACCCTGCAGTGCAATCGGACAGGGAATTTGCAACAGCTGGTTGCTGGGACGTGACTCCTTTCAGCCCTGGGAATGGAGGGCAGCTCGCGAGGGTTTGCAACCACTGTCCACCGGAGCAGGGTAAGCGGCCATTATGGTACAACTAAACGCATAAAATTTCCTTCCAGTATTAGGCAGGATTCATTTGATGTTCTTCGGCTTATCCAATTTTAGTATGAAACATTAACTGAAGATATTCCACATGAAGAACTGCAAAGTTGATGGAGCCACCTAATCAAAACAAATTTACCTTGGCAGATTTGTCAACATCAGTGAAGTCTGCTTTTAGCTAAGGCCCTAGAAGTTTTGCAGAATTTCTTGTTTTAATATAAATTTGGGTTCCCACCCCTTCCCTTTTCCCACTTACAATCGTGTAAAGACATTTCACATCATTTTATAGAAGTTAAAGATGAAAGTGCTGTGACTTTGCTTTGAAAATACTGACAATTCCACAATGCAAGCCCCAGAGTCTGTAGATACAAGCATCACATTAACAGTCCACGAATTACCGATGAAAAATTCATGCCACTGTAGTAACTTTCATATTGGCAAAAGTCAGACAGAAGTGAAAACAGCATATTTAACAGAGAAATCTGTAAATATTCACATAATGATGATGATCTCCGAGACACTTCACTCCCCCTCAACTGAGGATTGCATTGTACACAAAAAAGAGGAAGGAAAAGTCTATCTGCAGCCCAAATTAATGATGCAGCTTTCTGTATCACTAATTCCTTGTCTGACTTCCATAAAGCAGTGTGTGCTCAACATACAAGCATGGTAGACCTTTACCTTGGTATTGGTTTTTAGCATCACATTCTCCCCAACCCTCTTCAAGAGGTGAGCCACTGCTGTGGCTGCCTTGACAATATGCTTGTCCAGCTCAGCATTGATGGAGAAGTTGCTGGTTATGGTGGAATCTAGGGATTTACAGCTTGGGCTGTAGAGCTTCCTGGAAGTGCGCTGTAAATGCTGTGCCAGGTTGAACAGACCCCCGTTGTTCCTTGAATGGAAGTACACACCATCTTCAGTTGAGCTGAAGGCAGAACAGAGCAACAAGGCAAAGTATATGCCAAAGAGAGTTGGAGCAGAAACACAGCTCTGTTTCACAGCACTCTTTATAGAGAAGGCGTCGGAGTATGAACTATCATATTGGAAGGTGCCATGGATGTTCTTGTGGAAGGACACAATTATATTGTGGAGCTTAGGTGGGCATCCTGTCTTATTGAGCAGTATGAAGAGTCCTTTTTGGCTGATGAGGTCAAAGGCCGTCATCAGGTCTATGAAGGTGATGTACTACTACCACACTTAATTGTAGCACGATCTTTGATAGAGGAATATGTTTTTTGCTGTAAGTGGCTAAGATCTTTTTGCTTTGAACATAGGCAAGAACCTTCTTAATCCAATGAGAATTATGCTAAAGCTATCCCACTGTACGTTCCATTAAGTCTTTAAGGTGCCACAATACACTGTCACTTATTTTACACTTTTTTTTAGTACTTTAGAAAAATCTCACAGTAGAGACATTTTCAGAAGAGCAAAAATTGCCACTATAGTCTCCAGATATGAAGTTGGGTGGGTTGAGCTGACAGAATTATGTTAAGGCCTAGTTTGCGTGACACATGCAGGCTCCCAGAGAGGAACTTGCAGCCACTGCCATGGGATAGTGGCTGGATGGAATGTTAGCTCAGGTGCCTCTGCAAGAGGAATTCCTTCCTTCCTCCTGTACTGCCTTCAGGCATTGTTCCCCCGGCCCACAAACAGCCAAGTAGGTGACCTGCACTTGGCTGCCACCTTAAATAGGCCAAGCACAGGCTGTGCACAGCTCCCAAGCCCCTGCCACTGATTGGTTCTGTGGGCGCTGCCCGCCCATACCTGAGAGGATCGTTGTGGCTGGGGGTGAATGGTAGCTGGTAACCATCTCCTCCCCTTGCTACACCAGATGATGAAGGCCTCCTGGACCCACCACGGCTGCGGCATACATCAAAACGTTTCCCACCCGGAGTCCCAGATGAGCTGTTATTCCCTCCCCCTGTACTCCAGGCATTGTTTGTCCCCAGTGATGTTACTGTATAATCATATCTGCTTTGACTGCATGATCATCACCAGGTTTACTGATGTAGCTGCAAGAAAGGAGCACAAATTCTAAAAAAAACAGCTGATACTAATCTCACAGAAGATTGAATCAAGTGCTTTGTGTGGATGGTTTCAGCATCAGTTTCATTTCATTTTTTTTCTCAAAGATGTTGTAATTAAATATATGGAAATGATGCATCTTTTATTATTAGCTCTTTCTCCATTGGTTGTGATCCTTCATTTAAAGTTGAAATCTTAGGTTGCCCAGCAACAATGCAGTCCTGTGTATTTATCTCTTATTAAAAACAAGGTAGCTTTCTATTTGCACAGGTGTGTTTAAAATGGCTGGACAAGAATCATTCTACAATTTTAAGAATTAAAGGGTGTTTTTTGTGAGTCTAGACTCCCACATTTTATACATTTTTTCCATTTTATACATTTTAGCATGTATGGTTTTATTTTGGACTTGGGCTTGGTGCGGATCATTTTGGATGTTCTAAATGTATTAGAATTATGTGATCATTGGTTCCCAGAAATATAATAAAATGAATCTGAACCCAGACTACCACATTATGCCTACGTTTCCATAGTGTTATAAAGGATATAGCCGTTGCACTTCCTTCTATTTTAAACGCCTATTTGCTTCATAGGTTATGGTCTACTTATGGTAATAACTGAAAAGGGTGAAGCATGACTGCTTCATGAGGAGGCAAGTCATCTGTGCATTGAGTTGTTTTCTTTTTTTAAACGTAGCTGTTAATTTTTTTAATTTATTGGTCTTGTTTTTATGGGTTCTATATGTTTTGTATTTTTTCTGCTTATATTTATTATTTATTTCGTTGTTACCAAATGTGGAATTGAACAATTCAGTGAAGAGTGGGTTAACAACAACAACAGCAACATTGACTGTGAATTTCTGTTTGGAAATAAGGATGGAGGACATTCCTTGATAGAGATGATGCCTTCTACTGGAAAGATCAGGCAGGCCTTTTGCCTCCTCTGTAGGAGGAGGAGGAATCCTCTTTCCCCAGACCAACTGGCAGAGTGGACAACTCCCCGACCCCTAAACGATTATTCAACTGGAACCACATTGATGACTGGAACCTAACCGTTACAACGCTACGGATAACAGGAAAGAAAACGGGGAACTAACAAAGAGACAGAAGAAACAATAGAACTTGCCCTAACAAGAAAAGACAGAAATCTCAATTAAGGAGCAAAAACCTAAGGAAGGGAAAGGAAGCCCTAACAGTATGTGAGGCAGCGACAGAAGGCATAACCCACACTCGTCAAGATTGTCGGTAGAGGCAGGAGTGGAGGGTGGAACATAGTAGATCTCCAAACAGAAATTCATAGTAAGAACACGTTTACATTTTTGTGAGATGAGCCCGGAGGATATTCCTTGACAAGGGACATATCAGAGCAGTTTCCTAAGCCAAGGCAGGCTTCCTCTGCCCCCCACCCCCATTCCTTGTTCCTCTCAGTGTTTTGGAGAACCTTCATACTGAAAGCATTCTCCAAGGAGGCATCATCCCTATCAAGAGATGTCCTCCAATTTTGTCTCATAAACAGGCAGTAGTATAATCTTAGGATTATAATCTGCTTTATACCATTGCAGAGGTGTTATGTCACTTCCCACATATTAATTAATTAATTATCCATAAGTTTTAATAGATGAATTCATTGATTATATCTGCAGAAACTTGCATATAAATAAAAGTCACCCTTAAATAAGATGCATGGCAGGCACCATGTTAAGAGGCCTCTGAAAAAGAGGCAGAAGAATATCTTCTAAGATAGCGTCTGTATATGTTTATAATACATTTTCTCATTTGCTGTACACCACTTACGGAAATTTATATATTAAGCAGTAATATTTTAAAATAAAATGAATCTGCCTCATGGGTTGTTTCATGAAAATATGTTTTAACACAAGTAAACATTTCTTTTAAGTCTGCTTCTTTAAATCTACTGTGCGATTGGTAGTTGTTATAATATTTTTGTTAATCGACTAATCTGTTCTTAATTACAGTGAACTGGGGAGGGGACTATATTTGTTTTCAAATACTTGTGCCTTGTTTCACTTCTGAAAAGATTCCTTATATCAGCTCATGTGAACAAATGAACTGCAAAATTTATAATCTCTTTAGTGTTAATGTGGCTACAGAAGACTCAAGTTTTATTTGCTAACACCTGCTTTGTTATCCAAGCTCAGTTGTTAGGGCTCCAAAGCTACTTTCCTATCCCAGTAGTAATCCAAATGCTGGTCTCAGTTGTTCCTGTTGACTTCTGAACCTGTACTGTTTAAAGTACACTTCCCAAGAAGCCTGTAAGTTTCTCAATACTTGACTGCCCTCACATGAATCCTTGGAAGGATCATGGTGGCAGGCTGCTGCTGCTGCTACTAATGTTAACAACATTGAAAACATTGTCTTGCGTGAGTCCTTAAAGCTTTGGGACACTTCTTTGCCAAAATTACAAAATTCACAGATGGCTCTGCTGCTATGAGAGAAACGGTGTCTAAACTCTAGGCTTTGAAAAGTATCAATTTTTTCTTTTTGCCTGAGATAAAGTGGGTTGCCCTGTGTAAGAACTGCTGAAAGCAACAGATTTAAGGACATGTTTAATATTTTTTTCTATGCCAGAAATGGGAAATTTTAGTGTATAATACTCTATTTTGCATATTGTCATTCAAGGAAATCTAAATACCTTTTTGTTCTCTTTGGTTCCAGCTGTTCCTCTTTGTGACCTGGAATTTTGAGCTGTACATGATTCCTCTAACACTGTTGCTACTGTTGGTGTGGAACTACTTCCTGATCATTTCAGGGAAAGATAATAGACAACGTGATACGGTAAGTGTCTCTTAAACTTTTTTGCTGCGGGGGCAGAGGGCAGAAGACCCTTCTCTTCACGGAGGCAGAACTTTGAAGTGGAATTTAAGCAATAAGCCTATTTGGGTGTTGGTTCACCCCTAGAGAGACATTAAGTGATTGCCTCTTAGGCTTTGCAGTTCTACCACACTCCTCGCCATAATAAGAAGTTGAACACCCAAGCAAGAGACCCCATCAATATGAGGACCTTTCATGAATTGCTGCCAACCTTCTTAAAATCCCAAGGAAACTGTGGAAAACACCAGGGACCTGGTGCAAAGTTGTGGATGCCGGAACATAAAATCTTGGCATGTACCTCCTTCCAGCACTTCTCTGATGAAAATGGGGACAATGGGTGGGGTTCAGGGCAGAGTCTGGGAACCCAACAGCGCTGACAGTGGCAGGGCAACACAATCTAGACTTGGAAGTGCAAGGGGAAACTAAAAGCACATGAGAATAGATGACTCCGGTTGACAGAAAAACAATGCTGTACGCGGATCAAATAACAAATGCATATTTATTAAAGAGTATTGGTCTAATTTTATAAAACACAGCAATAAGTGACTAGCTGAAGTCCAGTTAATAGATGGTAGATAATAATTATGTACAGGCAGCTACCATTTTGCACAGGGGTTCAGTTCCTGATCCTTGCACGTGTTGGCGGAATTACACATAAGCCCACCCTGTTCTGCCACCATTCTGCCGCCTTCTGAGTCCAAAAAGTCCCCTGTGTAGGCAGACACGTATCAGTTGGGTGTGTGTAAAATGGTTGCTGCAGTTAGAAGCATTTATGAGTACAGGTAACTTGCAGCTTGGGCACATTTAACTTACACAATTTCAGCTTTATGCACCTGATGGATGGCCGGTTGAAATCACACAAACTGAACATAAGGAAAGCAGAGAATTTAAAAAGCTCTTTTTGCACAGGATATTCCCAGTGCGGAAAGAGTTTTTAAGCTTTCCACCTTGCTTACTGGGGTTTAGGAGGCCTTTCTTGGGGGATGAGACCCATTCAGCGCACTAGCTCCGGAAGGTAAGATTACCCCTACAGGGGTGGTTCTAAGGGGTTATTTTGACATTCACAATAAGTTGCAAGTTACCTCTACCTTGGAGCACATGTACGTAGAGGGCTGAATCCAGCATTTCCTTGGCCCAACATAGCCAAATTCATGGAGGTTGTCTTTATATTTCAGTGGCTATAAGCCACAGTGGCCGTATTGAGCCTTCATGTGCTTCCTGGAGTCAAGAATAGGAAACAGAAAGGTGGGCTAGGTGAATCATTGGTTTGATTCACCAAGCTTCCTTTTCTGTTCTTATTCCTCTTTAACATGCTGATATGCATTAAAGAAAATTAAAATGCAGCATCTCAGAAGGCCTTTGCCCATAGAATGCCTCTCCTACATAACAATCTCAGTTTCCCAATCAATTCCAGCATGAGAGTCTGTAATAATGCTTCAGATCAATGACATTATTCACCAAGTTGCTGTCTGATTATGACAGATGGACCAATCTTGTCTTGTCACTTTTAAGTGGCAGGGAAACATTTTCCACCTATACTTATGCTTTGTTCTACTTTGTAGTATTTTTAGCTAATTTTCTAATGGCTTAAAATGTTCTTTTATTTCTGAGTGTTGCTACGTGTCCAAGAGCAAATACCATTAATCTTTTTTTGTCTCAGCCTAGAGACAAAATGGTTGCCTTTTTACAGTAATTTACACAATAAATAAATAATTAAATAAATGATGGTGAGGGGTTTGCCTTGTGGGACAAGGAACAGGGCTTCTTCAGTTGTGGAACATCTTCTTTGGAACTCGCCTTCTCAAAGAAACATGCTTTGTTGTGTATTACATAGGTGATACTGAGTTACGGGGAAGGACCTCAGTAGCGTGTTCTAGATAGGGATATTTCTATTTAGAAATATTTATTTTTCTTTATTTCTACTCTATTTATTTCTCCTAATGATAAAGCTCTTCGGCGTGTGAAGGGCCTCCCCTGTGTGGCCTCTTTTTCTTTCACTCATTCTAGAACAGGCGTAGGCAAACTTCGGCCCTCCTGATGTTTGGGACTACAATTCCCATCATCCCTAGCTAATAGGACCAGTGGTTAGGGATGATGGGAAGTGTAGTCCCAAACATCTGGAGGGCCGGAGTTTGCCTATGCCTGTTCTAGAAGGTCAGTCTTGGAGAAAAGGAAACGGAATGGAACTCAACTTAGAATAGGTCAAAAGTATTTATGCCACTTTTTCTTTATCATTCTGTTAGTAATGCAATTAGAAACTACAACACAAAACAGTGGTGCCACTGAAATAGCCCAAGTGTGGGTCACAGCTTCTCAGTTGTACGCTATTTTTAAATTCATTTGTGGGGAGGAGTTTCTGTTTATCATAATTAGCTGCAGCGTTTCCAGTATCTCAAGGTAGTTATCAAATTAATAAATCAAATATTTGATTAGGATGCAGTTCTGTGCAGAAAGGATGGCGATGTGCCTTCCCCATTTATCTTTGCAATGCAAAGTCCCAGTTCCTACACTTGTTTGGTGCTGCAGTCCACAGAGAGTTCCTCATTCACGCACTGCACTTCCCCTGTCCCCCATATAAAGTTCTCTTAGAGCAATTCAGCTCTCACCTCCTGTGTTTATGCAGTGTTTTTCTCATGACTGAAGGCAGTCCCTATGTTTGGGGGCAATCTTCTTTCAGGGCAAAAATGCTATATTGCTCCCACAAGCAATAGAATGTGTAAACACATGGTTGAGGCTGACTGTGTAAAGCATGTCTCCATCCTTATTATGAGTGCTGGGCATTTGTGCCCTCAGACTCTGAAGTCGTGCCATAAGTTTGAGCTGCCCAACTAAGGCCTGTAGTCCTATCCCTTTTATCTAGCCGATTGAATGCAATAGGACACACTTTTGAGTAGACCTGGCTAGGATTCTCTTGTATATAATGGTAATTAATAGGAAGAAGTGAAACAATGTTTTAATAACTTTTTATGTGAAACATGCTTAACAGCTAAGGTCCAAGTTCTTAACTGAGGATCCCAGTGCCATTATACTAAAATCTCACTTGATAAACTACATTAATTCATTTATCCCAATCATGCATACTTTGAAATCTCCCTTGAATTTATGGGTAATTGTAAATGTGCATTTTGGGCATATGTGTACAAGAAAATTACAATGAACTTTAAAATCCTTTAGATGGAGACATAGTTCAAATAAACATTCAATATACTGCATAGTTCTTTGTGAAAAATGTGAGAAACAGACACAAACTCATTAAAGATATATACAAGTGTAGATTTGCAGCAGTCTTAGTATTAACTGTACTAGCATAAAGGGCACATTAAGCTAACAATTAAAGTTGCATATTGCAAATTACTTTGGATTTACTGTAGTGCCTGTTTATACTATATAGATCTCAATTGTTTTAAAAATCTGTTGATCATGCAAGGCTATTATGTAATGAATTTAATGCATCACAAGTTAAATCCCCACTTCCTATGAGATGTCTGCCTAAAATTACAACATTAACATTTCCCTTTCCCAGACTAAAGCAGTGAAACTTTTGAAAGCATTTCTTAAAAGATAAAGATGCCTGTCTTTCCACTGCAAAGTACCAGTGCTGCTTTCTTTCAACTTGCTGCCTTATGTAGAGCAATATATTCAACCTTTAGTGGCAAGCTCATCATATTAATTATGACATCTAATGGTTCAGTTACCTTGATGACTATGGTAGATGAGATAGCCCAAGGTCAAATGTTTAATAGCGGCTTGGTTTTATTCATGCTGCCATAGGTTTTCCAAATACTGTTGCAGATATGCTATACAATTAACATCAATTGTTTATAAATGCCTTCTAGAATTTCTACCTGTGTGTAGAAGCAGGCTTTACATGCCTAGCCTGGGGATAACATTGTGCACAGGAAAGCACATCCTACATAGGTTGTGAGCCTGGTAACCGCAATAACTTGCTTAAGCAGCTTGAGCCTGCATGTGCTTTGACCACAGGTGCATATGTTTATCTTGAAGCTGCCATTCTGTAAGAGATGGATGTTTTGTTTCAATTACGGCATTTTAAAAAGTTCTTCCTCCACTGTTCTGTGTGAGAGAAGCAGATGCCCTGTTGTGAAAATGACCACATAAGACTCTGATATTAGGCTTATTGACTGTAGGGAATCTTCAGCTTGACCTAAAGTACTTTCAGATGACCTGCAATAGTCTGAGTGGTTTTACACATCCTCTTCAATCCATGCACATTCAATAATTTTATATTATAATTATGTGTAAGCACTGTAAATCAACTGACACGCGGACACATATTGTGGTTTAGATTTTGCAGAGACAAATGGGAGGGCAGGGAATTAAATCAGCTCCAGATTCCTCACGAATCCCTTTGTGTCCCTAGAATAGAAACATTGACTCAGGACCCAGTTCTGTTCCCATTATTGAATAAAAAAAATAGTGTCAGGCCACGGTTTCATATTATTTTAGGTCAAAATAAATATACAGTATATGCAAATATTTGTTTTGGTAACTTATGTTAACTTCTGTGTACTTTCAAAAAACAGGTGTGCTCTGAATGATGTTGGAGTGCTCCAGGATTATCCAGCATTTCACTAGTTCAGATGCCTACACTTTTTATTATTTTTCAACTATTGAGAATACCCACATGACTTGTGATTTTCTGTAGCTTTCATTCTTTATATTATGCAGTTCATTCAGAATTGTTGTATGGCTTTTTAACTTAGCCATGTTTCTATGCTTCTTGGTAAATATTAAAGTCAGCACTATTCTTATTATATATGTGCAGGACCATGATGGTGGTACAACAGTTAATAAAACAGGACTGCCTATCTTTGTATGGGAAACATTTTTCTGTGTTGACTGCCAAGTGACAAAAAGGGCCATTCTGCATTTTGTTCATTTCAGAGGTTTACTCAGGTTTGACACCCAAGTGAAGAGTTCATACAGAGTTTCTGTTACCCAAG